GTGGGTGTCCCCGCAGCGGTCCTGTCAGCCTGGGGCCCGTGCCACTGGTGCCACGGCATAACTTCCCCATCGTGCCTGCCCTCAGCCCTCCCTCCACGGCCTCCACTTTGCTGCTTCCCAAAATAGAGCTCCGAGGTGCCCAACCGAGTGGCCGTGCCCTGCTGGCGTGGCCGCCTCTCCCTGGGTCGGTGCTGGTCGTTTCTCCTGGGGCTTCCCATGGCGAGGCTCCATGCTGTGGTCCCATCAGTCATCGTGGTATTGTCGCTGCCTTGTTCCTCTGCTGTTCCCCGGGTGAGTGGCCTGGTCGGGGCATCCCTGGGGGGTGGGTCCTCGTCTCGAGGCCGCTGGACCAGGACACATCTTAAATTAGGTAAAGCTGGTAAATATTTCTCCAGACTTTTTTCCCTCTAGACTGAAGGGGGGGTATTCCACAGACATAGGAGGTTATATCAGAAAAAGTGGGGTCTTCAAGCCCACAGAAGTTGATGCTGGATAAAAATCTGTTGGTCCCACAACTTTGTTTCTACTGGGAAAAGAGATAACACAGGATTTTCCTAGCATTCCCAGAATTTTGTATTTCCTAGATAGGGTTTGTCTCAAACAGCTGCCTGTCGTAGAGACAGAAATTAATTAGGGAACTCCTTATAATCACGTCCCCTCTGTGGCAGGAAAAGCTTTCACTGTTGTAGTACATCTCAATGCAAGGGAATTTCCCTTGTAGGATTTTCAGTGCCCCCCCCCTTGTGCTTTTTAACAGCATCATGTCAGAGGGAGAAATTAATCAGCAGATGCTTTCTTTATGACTTAATCTCTGTGTTGGGGAAAGCATTTTTCATTCTTCCTAAAATGCATTTATGTTTGAAACTTGGTTGGCACGGGGTGGGGGCGGGGGCGCCAGAAGGCAGCCTTGCCTAGTGTGCAAAAAAACCTGGAGCCAGCCCTGTCCATAGGGGGCCCTCAGTGCAGAGGTGCGATTCTTCGTTTATGCGCATGGTAAACAAATGGTCAAAAAAAACCTGACTCAGCTGCAGGTGCATCTGATCACACAGTGACACCGCTGGTCCACAGCTACAAAGGGAGGTGTGATCTCACAACTGCGTGTCCAATTCTTCTGGAGGTCATAGCCGGGTCTCGAACTGCTGAACTACCGACCTTCCACAGCCTGCAGTTCAGCATCTTAACCACTTGAGCCATCGCAGCTCCTCAGGGTGGTATACGGTAATACCAAAATACATACATATTCCAGGGGTCATGTGACTACCAGCAGTCCACATGGCTGTTAGTCCACACTGGTCCTGTAACCTTGAGAATCTGTTTATTTATATGTATTTATTTATTTAAAACATTTATTAGCCACCTTTGTACCTTACAGGAACTCAAGGCAATTTACAATGTAAAACACAATAAAATACATAAAAACCACCAGTTAAAAATCAGTAATTTAAAACTGCTGGTTTTAAGAAGCAGAAGAACTAATCAACCAATCAAATGTTGTCATAAATAAAACTGTCTTCAGCTGCATCCTAAAGGTAAGAGTGAAAACGCCATGTGCACCCTACTGGGGAGGTTATTTCATAATAGTGGGGATTCCACTATAAATAAATAAACCCTCTCCTGTGTACCTACCAGACGTCCTTCTTTAGTTGATGAGACAGTCAAGAGGGCTTCTCCCTGTGATATGGGTTTTGAGTCAGGAATGCACGGGAGAAGATGGTCTTTCAGATACCCCAGTCATGTAGGGCTTTAAAGGACAAAACCAACCCCTTGAATTGGGCTCAGGAACAGATTGTAAGCCAGTGTAATTGCTGTAATATTGGGGTCACTTGCTCCCAATAGCTGGCTCCAACCAGCAATCTAGCCACAGCATTCTGCACTCGCTGCAGCTTCCAAACACTCTTCAAAGGTAGCCCCAGGGTAGAGTGCATTGCAGTAGTCCAGTCTTAATATAACTAAGTCATGGATCATTGTTGCTAGACCAGACTGAGGCAGGAATGGGTGCAGCTGGTTCACCATGAAGCTGAGCAAAAGCACTCCAAGCCACCTGTAATATATCCATCCCAGACCATGTGCGTGGCCATTTCACCACGTGGTCATGCGAAGCAGCCGAGCTTCGCTCGTAGTAACAATGGAACAAGCGGATCCTAGCCAGCACCTATCGGCAGGCTAGGCTCCCAGCCGAGAGCCTATGGAACTCTTGGCCACTGTAAAAAGCCAATCACTTGTGTGTGGGTGTGTTTTGGGTGTGGGGTTGTGGCACATATAAACCAGCCTGCGAGCTGGTTAGTTTGTCTTGTTCCGAACCTTAAATAAAGTCTTAGAGCTGAATCACTGCGTTAGTCTAAGGACTTTTCACCACCGCAGCTACCTGATTTTCTAAGGTGACTGCTATGTTGAGCAACACTCCCAAGGGGAGTGTAACCAGCTAAGTCAGGAGAGATCTCAAGTTCCTAGTTGGCCTTTCTGCTAACCCAGAGACCCTCTGTCTTGTCAGGATTAAGATTCAGCTTGTTCACCCTCATCCAGCCCATTACTGACTCCAAGTACCAGTTTAGAACATCAACAGCAGCATCCTCAGAATTAGGTGGAAAAGAAAGGTAGAGATGGGTATCGTCCACATATTGGTGACATTGCAGCCCATACCTCCTCATGAATTCTGCCAGTGGCTTCATGTAGATATTAAATATCATGGGGGAATCAGATAGAAAGAGGTTCTTTCTGGGGTTCAAAAAGGATTGCTGAGGGGAGCGGAATGCAGTATAAATATGTGCTCCTTCCATTGATGGAACCCTGGATCCAACTCTATGTGTTAGGACTGAAGTGCTGGTGGTGTGATTTGAGTTTTGTTTCCTAAAATTACTTTGCATTTCCATCATAAGCATCGTGCAGGAGCAAGCCCAGACACCCTCCCTTCTTTCCGGGTGACTTAGACAAATGTCCAATCAGAGAGATGTGGGTTTGTATAATTGTTTCCCTACTTTAAAAATGGGATTGTATAAATTGGGTCTCTCTGTATTTAGAAATTCAAATGAAATCCTTGCAGGTCACAATAGATGCTGTGTGGTGAAAGGGAGCAAATGAGTTCACCCTTCCTTTACATAACAAAGTTTGAGTTCAGTGGCACCTTTAAGACCAACAAAGTTTAATTCTGGGCATGCACATGAAAGCTTATACCCAGAATTAAAATGTATTCGTATTGAAGGTGCCACTGGATTCAAACTTTGTTCTGATGCTTCAGAACAACATGGCTACCCACTTGAATCTATCTACTTTTGCATAGCTAGCAATGGCATTATCCCTGCAAATGTACGAAGTGGAACATAGATTTATGGGGCAGACTTGGCCAGGTTATTGTTTCTTATGGTTAGTTCCCCTTCTGTGAAGTGGGAAAAATCAGGAGAATATTATCCTGTATAATGGGGCTGTTATATGAATAAACAAGATTTTTAAAATGCTGTTAAATAGCTTTGAGTTAAATAAATATTTTAGGGCCCTTTCTATACAATCTGTTTTTATGTGTGTGTATTTATGTGTGTCCAGTACATATTGACCATCTGTATTCCCATCAATGATACTCGTTAAAGATTCTCCTCCTCATATATATTCACTGTGCCATTAAAGAATGGAGATGATAGCAATAATATTTTACATATGTACAATTAAACTGCACATGTATAAATTTCTTGAAGGGCAGTGAGCTGGCTATGACCTTCTACATCAGCTGCCACTGATGGCAGATCAATAGAAACTTTTAATACAAAATATATCATTCTGGGTATGCTGTGACTCCATTTAACTATAGTCTTGTGCAATAGGTGAAAATTATGGAGGGCAGGCCATGTGCAAACAAAGTTAAAATGGGAGCTATAGAGTGTTCCCACAACCCCAGAGGGAGCTGGCAATTAAGGCAGTGCTGTTGATAAATAGATTTTGGAAGGCAAGATGTAGAAGGGCTTCAGAGTGGGGTTAGAAGACCTGGGGCATTTTTCTAAAAACGATAACCAAATGTCTCCCTACTACTGGCTGTCCCCATAAAATATGGTGATGTGGTGGAAAATTATGGCATCCCCACCAGTTATCTGTGAGATGGGTTGCTTGCCTGCAACCCATTTGAGTTGGACACGCCTGGTTTAACCATTCTCATTCATAGAATAGACTCCACTGTCCAAATCCTTACATATGCTCTCCTCATGAGCAACATAAACCAATATTAATAGCACACAAGTTAATCCAAATATCTAATTACTCTAACATATTGGATATTCCTGTCATCCCAGTCCTTGTCAGTGAAAATGGTTGCCCTTCACTCATAGTTTTTCCTGTTCAGGAGGGTTTGTGTTTAATTTTATGTACACAGATAACACACTGTTAAATGCATTCATCCTAGCCCCATGATTCCATATAAGTGCAAGGTTTTCTTCCAGTGCAAGCATCCTAATTCACTTACAAAGGTATCCTTCACATTTAAGGATAGAACACCTGGCACATACAAAATGGATGCTGCTTCCACTGAACTGATAGAAGATTCATGTGCAGGAAAGAGTTCCACTACCCATGGAACTCTGGACAGACATAAGCTTCTTAACTGGGACAAATCTTGCATACATGATTCTAGCATAATTTAAACACCTGAGAGTGACAAAATCCACAGAAAAGCAAACATTTAGCAATAGCCTTATAATATTTTGGATCACTGAAACACCAACTCTCCAAAAAGTAGTAGAACATCAGAAATAGTAGAGCGATTTGTTTAATTAAACATTTTATATGCAGTCCATAAAAATATCAAATAAAAACTGAACAAGTCCCACATAATCCATCTGACAAACATTAGAAGTTAAATAGTAATTAATAATATTAATTTTAGATAACATTATGAATGATAAATATTTAAATCATTTGGTGTTTCTACCAGATTGACTCTTATAAATAGTTATTTTAAATCAATTGATAAATATCAATAAATAAGATATATTAAAAAGAGCTATCAGTAGAAAAAATAGCTAGCCTCTGTGGTATGGTCGGAGTCGCTGCAGGCGTTGGGGATTGGGTTTCTTGCTTCTCCTCTTTCTCTGGATCTCTTCTTTGTTCACTTCCTGTAAAACTGGGTACAGTTCAACTACTGCCTTGCGCTGAAGTTTTAAATCGGTCAGCTGTTTCAAATGACAAAATAAAAACTGATTCAATATGAAAGTTAATAGAAAAATTAAGCTATCAAACTGGCTCACACTATGGTTTAAAAATTATTTAAAAGAACATTTGAAAATAGTAATAGAATCCCAGAAATCCTATAAAAGGAAGAAAAGTCTCCTTCTTTCAGTGGTTTTAGGTTAAATTTTTCTAATGTATCAGATCAGCTGATTTAGCAAAAGGAACATCTTGGACTGAAATCTTTGTAAAGAAATATACATTAACTACAGCACTGGTGCTGTAAAATGATCTAGAATAAGCCCACATTTTACCTGACTGGCCTTCTATCACACTTATATTTTCATATTACTCAAGGTTATTTTTTCCAAGTATCTGGTAAAAGTGGATTGTGCAAAGAACTATATTGAGTACTTCTTATATAAGATAAGAAACACCTGTTCATTCAGCCATAGATTATTGATGGCAAATATTTATAGAATGCAACTCACAAGCAAGGAAGAAATTCTTTTGAGGTTTTTAAGCAGAGGCTATGGTCATCTGACAGCAATGCTGATTCTGTGATTTTAGACAGATCATGAGTGGAAGGGGAGGAAGGGATGAGTTAGTACTCATTTATCATGGCCTTGTCTTACATGTCCAGGGTAATGATGATTGCCACTTTGGGGTCAGGAAGGAATTTTTCCCCAGGCCAGATTGGCCAGGGATCCTGGAGGATTTTTTGCCTTCCTCTGGGCATAGAGCAGGGGTCATTGAGGGAGTGGGGGGTAGTTATGAATTTCCTGCATTGCTCAGGGAGCTAGACTATATGACCCTTGAGGTCCCCTCCAGCTCTATGCTTCTATATTTGGGGAGGTGCTGTGGCTCAGTGGCAGAGCATCCGCTTGGCATGCAGAAGATCCCAGGTTCAATCCCCGACATCTCCTGTTAAAAAGATCAAACAGGAGGTGATGTGAAAGACCTCAGCCTGAGACCCTGGAGAGCCGCTGCTGGTCTGAGTAAATAATACTGATTTTGATGGACCAAGGGTCTGATTCAGTATAAGGCATCTTCATGTGTTCGTGTGTATATTTCTATGTCTCCAAGACCAATGATGGAAAACAGGTTTAAGCTTCTACCTAGTTCAAAGAACCCTTGATATTAACAAATTCAAGTCTTTCTATTCAATATTGTTCATAAATCGGTTAATTGCTTTAAAAAGTTCTCTCTCTCTCTCTCTCTGGTTCTAAAGGCAACATTCCAGGAAAAAGGTTTTGTTCATGTTGCCTTTAGCATATTATCTTAAATAGGTTTATTTAAAAGAAAGAGCCATTAAATCTATGGGATGGTCTCCAAATATACACATATAGAATCAAGTCACAAGATTGGAACTTTACTGTTTTAAAAGACCTGAATTTGTCCAGCCATACTTAAATACTTATGAATCCCATTCATTTCAGCTATATAATGGAATGTAAAGGTACTTAATTTGGCTGAATTTCTCCTCATTCTGAAAGCATCATAAAATCCCTTCACAAGAATATTCTAAATCAAAATAACAACAAAAATATTACCGGAAGCTTTGACAACTCAATTATATCAGTTGCTTTCCTCAAGCTCTCATTGTATTTTGTTTTGTATAATTCCAGAGCATTTACTAGGTTCCTGATGTGTTTAGCAGTTCCAATATTGGTTGAATTTTTCAGCATCTTCCAGTACATGGAAATTATTTGGGCAAGTAAGATCCTTTTTTCTTTGCCCTGTTAGAAAACCAGAAAATAAAAACAGATTAATAATCTTTCTCTAGAAATGTAAATGATTCAAGTTGAAGGCCCTTAGATCCATTGCTGTGGCTGGGGCATGCTCAAAGAACCACATAACCATCACCAATAATGGAAATGGTGGTAATCATTTGGCAAAAAGTCAAAATAATGGTTGGCTCCCATCTGTATTTTGAAACTAAAGTGGTTTCTTATCAGTTTTTCCTGATATGTCAGAATCATGTCACTGAAAGCCCATAAAAGGAATATATTGGCAGTTCTAAGTCCATGGTTGTGAGTAGAAATTAATCTTTTATGGTCAAATGCGCCACAGCAATCTCAGCAGAGTACAGCTAAACAAACAAAAACAAACCCAATTCAAGATGTTCATAAACTTACCTCTGACCACAGGGTGTCGTGCAGTTTATTTGTGAAAACAGGTTTACCCACAGCAACATCAGATTGACTTGCATTCTGTAACACAAAATACAGTCTCAACCAAATATATTACATAATCCTCAATCTCAGCAATGGCAGCTTTAGCTGTCATTTTTTTTAAAAAAAAATTAAATTAAGTTGCTGGTTTTATTAATCCTGAGAAAGCATTTTCTGCTCAGTCAGGTCTAATTTACCCACACCTGTTTCCTCTTATATGTAACTCATGCAACTTGAGTCACTTCAAATCCAGTTTTATGATAAGTTTGGAGGAAATCTCCTCTCATGCTACACTGCTGCTCAACAGGGATGGCCTGATACTACCATTATTTAAGATGAGGTGACAATATAGGAAAGAATGTATACACAGCCCTACGGCCTTTCATTTACACTCTTGATCTTAACTCTGATGGAATGAACAGTACATTGAACATTGCCAAATTAAAGATATATCAATAACTTCATCTTACATCCCTAATACTTGTGTCATTCCAGCTTCCTAGACCCATTATCTATTTTCTGCAAATAGACTCACATTGCCATCCTTATTCCGTTACAGGAACATAACATAAGAACATAAGAGACGCCAATGTTGGATCAGGCCAAAGGCCCATCCAGTCCAACACTCTGTGTTACACAGTGGCCAGAAATACCAGTGCCATCAGGAGGTCCAGCAGTGGGGCCAGGACACTAGAAGCCCTCCCACTCTCCCCCCCCCAAGCACCAAGAAGACAGAGCATCACTTGCCCCAGAGCCCCTATCTATACCTTGTGGCTAATATCCACTGATGGACCTCTGCTCCATATGCTTATCTAATTCCCCTTTGAAGCCGTCCATGCTTGTAGCCGCCACCACTTCCTGTGGCAGTGAATTCCATGTGTTAATCACTCTTTGGGTGAAGAAGTACTTCCTTTTATCCGTTCTAACCCGACCGCTCTGCAGTTTCATGGAGTGCCCACGAGTTCTTGTATTGTGAGAAAGGGAGAAAAGTACCTCTTTCTCTACCTGCTCTTTCCCATGCATAATCTTATAAACCTCGATCATGTCACCCCTCAGTCGTCTTTTCTCCAAGCTAAAGAGCCCTAAGCGCTTTAACCTTTCCTCATAGGGAAAGTGTTCCAACCCTTTTATCATTCGAGTTGCCCTTTTCTGCACTTTTTCCAAAGCTATAATATCCTTTTTAAGGTGTGGTGACCAGAACTGCACACAGTATTCCAAATGAGGTCTCACCATTGATTTATATAGGGGCATTTCAGCTGCAACATTACACGTTGTTTAGTCTCTACCTCTTTTATTCAAAATGTACTTAATGTAAACTAGAAAGTGAGAAACACAATTTAAATGTACCTTCTGGTCAGTATGTCTCTGTTATTCATTGTATCCATGTGGAAAATTAAAATAACTTTTTCTAAATTGTGAAAATGCCCTAATGGAAGAAAACTCATTAAACTCCACTAGAATCCGAATTGCACAATGTCGAGATTGAATGCTCATGCTCAAGATGTAGTGACCAGTAGAGTAGCTCAGAATTAGACATTAATTTACCTAGTTCTGCTTGTGGTTCCTCATATGGTGGACTCATTATTTAAATGTACATACAAAATCCAGCATTTTGTAAAGTTTCTAGCACACAGCTGGAGTGTGTAATAGCATACTGCTGAGGGAATAATAATGATAATAAACCTGTTAAAATCAGTACTAGACTAAAATTTGGGTTTTATTGAGTCTACATTTTCAGGAAACCTTATTCTGGAAGAAACTGGCTGCATATTATAGTCCTAATCAATTGCCTTAGCCAAATTTATCTACAGCCTTACCCACTGCCTGGAAAGCTGCCCATACAAGTTTCCCTTAAAGCCCAACCAATAGCACTATGAGGATATGGTTGGTGGGCACATGATGCAGTTCCCTTGCTAAAGGTAAACTGGTCTCTGTGTGGTCTGTGCCTGAGTGGGAGATTACTGGGAATGTAAGTAAGGAAGTAAGATGGGATATTAATCATCGTCTTCTTCTTCTTCATTGTCATCATATAACTTCCTATTTGGCCAGTCATACTTCTTACTGAAGAAATGTTTCCACCAACTGTATATGTAGTCATGTCAACCCTAAAGTGTTGGCATTTCTTTTAACATTTAGAAGTCAGCTTGCTTTGGTTGTCTCTCCTTATACATCCTCCACAAGTTTCCATGCGCAAGTTCCGATTCCGTTGTTACTATATGTGTGGACTGCTGAACGAAGAAATGACTGAGCGTTAAGCTAGCAACACTTCTTTGCTAACATCAGGAACAGCTGGCCCAAGCACAAAGTGGTATGTAACTCCCTTAATAAACAAATAAAATATCCAAAGCCCTCCTCTCACCAAAGTCCAAGACTCCAAAGTTGCTTGAACATAGATGGAAACAGAGCTTTTTTCCTGGGGGAATGCACCGGAACAGAATTCCGGAACCTCTTCAACACAATTCTTTTTAAAACATTTACAAGTTCATGAGTTTTCAGTATACAGATTGAAAACTTAATTTCCCTCTTGAGAGTTCCAGCACCTCTTTTTCAAAAGAAAAAGAAAAAACCCTGGATGGAAATCATAACTAATCATAACTCACAACTAAAACCAGATTATGAAAGATATTTACATTAGAGACTTTTGGAATTATTATTCACCTAATCAAGTAATTGACTATAATATATTATCATGTTGGATTATATACATTCAAGGAGAACAAGGACGTGAAGAATTAAGCAAAGCTGTTGTGGGGATCTTGAGCTAGGCATGGACTGGGGAGAAGAAACTGCCAATCCTGTGAGGACTGTTTCAATCAAAACAAATCATATGTTCAGAAATTTCAGAGAGAAGTGATCAGTTCGGTTGACTCTCCTTTCTTCAGCTTTCTATACAGTCAGCCCTGTTCCCTAACACTTCCTGTATGGGAAGCCATCTAGCTATTTGCACCAGCTTTCATTCAGTCTTTTTAGAAGTATGGAAATGTTACAAATTGTGTTTACTTTTTTGAAATTTAGCTTAATGTAGGATCTTTCAAATTCTCTTGGGGAGGAATTTCTTTATAATCCGCCATATATCCAAACTGAATGAAAGGAAAATATTGAACAATGAATTACAAATATATATTATAACAGATCACAAACACAAGAGTAGTTGCCCATGAATATCAACGTCCTAAGATCTACTGTTGTACAAGAAAACGGAAAAGAAAGATAACAAGAAATATATCTGAAAGTGTACTTACATAGTCTTGCTCCAATCTGATAATATCTTCTTTTATCTGATCAAAAACTGAATCTGTAAGAATTTGTCCATCAGAACAGCTAATAGCCAGAAAGACAAACAAGCAAATCTGCCAAGTCATTGTTTCAAAGTCAGGTAGTTAGCTTCACTACAAAGACAGATGTTGGACCCAGAGCAATGATCTAACTTGGCTGTCTATTGCCCTTTGCAGGTTTGATCTTCAGCTCTCTGGGTGGCGGTATTTATACTTGGCCGTTGAACATTTTAGCTAATCAGAACTATGTATTTTCACACATTTTAGAAGATGGTGTTAGATAGGAGGTTTTTGTGGCATTTCTACATGTAAAGTTTCCTTTAAATAACGACGTCCCCCAGTGTGACGAATGCTCGTCTCCATGTCCAGTTAGCTGTTCTTTAGGGATCCCTCGAAAGTATCACATGTGAAAGCAAGAAGGCACGGGAAAGTCCAGCTAGGCAAGGTATGCATATGAAACCCATCAATTCCCCCTCCTCATTTAAAGGAAACCATTTTGCAGTACCCTGAAACTGCTTTAGTACTTTGTGGTGGGGGAACAAGAAGACAGGAAACAGGGTCAGATGATGTAGCATAATCTTTTCAAGTATATGTTGGATACAGTAACAAACCATCAGAAAGCAAAAAAACCCAAAACCCACTACATCATGTGGTTAATGGGCAGTTTGATAAATGTGTTACTTCTAATGCTTATTCACTGTGGGTTAGAGGTGTTCTTTAATTTTATAATAACCGTAGCAGATAACTGTTATACTTTTGCATAAAATATATGCCTTCTTTCATTTTTCCTTATGGTAAATTATTTCCATGCTTCTTTCATCAGGTTGGATCCAAAGACCCCCTTTCACCTACGGAGGAAGTCTTCCTCTGCTAGATTAAGGCTCCTTCTGCCAGAGCAAGACTCCTTTTGCCAGAGTGAGGCTCCTCACTTAGCAGAAGAGATTAATGGGATCCAACTCATAATTTTTACCAGAATTAAGGAAATCAAGGATAGCATGATTGTATCCTCCATCTAATGCCCTGTGAACAGGATAAGATCAACCCACAATGCTATTGGTCTCCCTGTTGCACTTGTACAACTGGCAAATGCACTGTACTAATGCAAGATAGCCACAATGTACAATTGTGGTGGTATAATGGTGTGGTGTAGAGTTCAAAATAGACAGGAAAGTAGTCGTTATTAAGAAGAGAGAGAACAACGGTTAACTTCCAATGACAGCACCAAGTTTATATAAAAAAGAAAGTAGACCTATAATTTTTGTTCAAAATTCACGTATTCAGAATTCTGGGAAGGCTGAGGTCTTGGAGGACATTGTGCTTCTCACCTTCACTGGCTTTCAGCTGACCCTTGCTGACTCAATTATACTGGATATAGTATTACTGCTGGAGAAGCAAGTTAATGCATATGCAAAAAAACTTTCTTCCAAATTCATTTAGGGTGGAAAATGGCTCCCTACCTTGACTCAGCCTATCTGGCACCTGGATCCATGCCATGGTAACATTGAGACTAGACTATTGTACTACACTGTATGAGAGTCTACCCTTGGAGTCATCTTAGATACTCCAGTTGGTAAGAACTATCAGAACCTAGGCAGAGCATGCAACTGACACCCAATCTGCAGTCACTCCACTGGGACTGATTTCACACAAGAGCTGCGCCACGGTCGCGCCACCCTTTGCCCCGCTTCTATTGGTCAATTTCCCACTCGAAGCTGTGTGGCCGCGTTTTGACCCGCGGCTTCGCCCGATTTTCCCTGCGGTTTTGTGATCCTGTTTTTTGAGGATCACGAAACCGCGGGGAAAATCAGGCGAAGCCACGGGTTAAAACGCGGCCGCGTGGCTTCGAGTGGGAAATTGACCAATAGAAGTGGGGCAAAGGGAGGTGCAACCACGGCGCAGCTCTTGTGTGAAATTGGTCTGGCTGTCCATCGGTTACTGGGTTCAATTCAAGGTAGTGGCTATCAGATACAAAGCCCTTCATGACCTTAGACCCTCATGTCTGCAGGACAGCCCCTCCTCTTATAGTCTGCCATGACAGCTTTGCTCATCTGAGCAAGGCCTTCTGAGGATGCTGTGAATGGGCAAAATCAAAAACTGCCCACATATGTGCATTCTCTGTTGTAGCCCCCACATTGTGGAATGGTCTGTCTGAAAAGGTCAAGAAGGCTCCCATGTCTCTGGGTAAAACGGAATTGCTCAGGAGGCCATATTTACAAAGGTAATAGGGCTATATTATAATGGAATGGTTCAAGAAGGTGCTTTTCTAAAGGGAATGAGATTGTGAACTATACCACTGTGTATAGTATATTTTATCTGTTTGTGGAATGTATTATCCTGGTCTCACTGCAATGTTTTCTACCTCTATAATACCAGTTTTTGCACTGTTTAACATATCCTGTCTAATGTTTTATATTTTGTTTCCAATTTCTGTAATCTTGTTCCCATTACAATGCTTTAAGATGTCTCATCCTATTGATTGCATCAGTTTACACTGTGTAATCCCCCTTGATTCTCAGTGAGAAAAGCAAAGTAAATGCATTTTTAAAATGTGCCAAGAACCTCAGTTTTGCAGCTGCAATGATCCCACCACACATGTGGGGAGGTAGTAAAAAAGAAGGGGAGTTGCCAGAGAACATCAGTTGGCTGTAAATCAGCAGCCATGGCAGAGCTACTTAAGAAAGGAAAGTTAAACCCTGACACATGATCAAAACCAATCCAGCATACCAACATACACAACCCCATATACAACTGCCAGGTAGGCAGGTATTAAAACCTATCTGTGCCCATTGTCCATCCCAACTATCATTTTCCCACTCGCAAAATCCAGGTCAATGGCTGATCTGGGCAGATTGTATTCATTGACCACAAACAGGTGTGGATGTTGGCAGAAGTACTGATGTCAGAAGCTGGCAGAAGTACTGATGCCAGCATTTGGCATTTGGCAAGGTGTGGGATTTCTGTAGTCAGAGGTGACCAGGCTGTACCTCTAGTGTATAGTAGAAGTCATTCCTGGCTGCAAGAATGAGCCTTTATATACCAGTCAGGAGGTGGGAGGGATGTTGTAAAGAAGGAGCTCAGGAATGGATGCAAAGGTACAATGCATATTGTAATCAGCTTGATTAAAGCAGAAGAGAAATGCTTGGGGGCACAAATCAGCATCTGTAGTAAGATAAGTATCCTATGTCTCTATTCAGCCCTGAGGGGTCCATTGTTCTGAACTCAAATTCAGCCATTCTTTGGAGGAGCACTTTTCCCTGCCCTGAGACCATCCTTGTTTTGTGAGCTGCTAGAGCCCCTGATATGGAGCTGCGGTGGCTCAAGTGGTTAAGATGCTGAACTGCAGGCTGTGGAAGGTTGGTAGTTCAGCAGTTCGAGACCCGAGTTGCTGCATGGCGGAGTGAGCTCCCGTCTCTAGTTCCAGCTCCTGCCAACCTAGCAGTTCGAAAGCAAGAAATTGCAAGTAGATCAATATGTACCACTTCAGTGGGAAGGTAACAGCGTTCCGTGCACCTTGGTGTTTAGTCATGCCGGCCACATGACCACGGAAATGTCTTAGGACAGCGCTGGCTCTTCGGCTGTGAAACGGAGATGAGCACCGCAACGCTAGAGTTGGATTCGACTGGCTTTCGAGCAAGGGAACCTTTACCTTTACCTTTAGAGCCCCTGAAACATGACATAAGGGCTGCCTTTTCCTCTTGGATTGAATTACTGCTTAGCTCCCTGTACCTCTACACTGGTGCTGGGCTCTCCTAGGGATACAAGAATCAGACATTATAAATTTCCTTTTCAACCTCAACCTCAATCTCTCTCTTTCTTGCCTTGTTTTCCCCATTTTATTTCCCCCCCCCCCCCCCCCCCGTGGAAGAACTGGTTCATACACTTGGTGCTTCAAATCAGTCTTGCATCCAGCTAGCTAACTCTATGCTTTGATGCTTTCAATGGTTTTGTTCTACTGTATTTACCCTAAAGGACGATGACCATGAATGTAAGGTGATCCCCCTTAAAAAAAAGTTATACACTAAGTCAAAATATTCTTATTGACACTGTTTTGATTATCACCTTAATTGGTATTTTAAGGCTATGGGTTCTGGAGAAGTGGAATATTTTACTTTGGCCTTTTGTCAGATCCGACCCCTTGTTCAGCTCCTTTTTTTATGCTCCTGATTGTTTCTCCATTCTTTCAGATATTCTAGTTGTCCATCTTTGCTCCTCTTCCAGATTTAAATCAAGGTAACTTGATTTTGCTACATGTGATGGCCACTGTAAACCGCTTCCTAGTGGTTACCTCTCTGCAGTGAACCACCTTTCTGTATTTTCTTCATACTGCTGCAGAATTTTTTTAAAAAAAGATCTGCACTGTTGTGTAAAGAGAAATTGTCATCTGATCCACATAATGATATACTGTTCATTAATAACTTGCAAAGAGAAAACAGACATTAGGCACAGTGACTTTTTAAGCAGCCTGTAAGGGCAGCTATAACCGTTGACATCTGCAAAGGATAGCACTACACTACACAAATAACACACACACACACCATTCTGCTCAGTGGTGGCAACTGGGGAGTGCACTACAGAAAAGCCTGCTTTGCATTCACAGCCTGACATCTTCTGTCCTTTTACTAGACTTCTTACTAAAAGCTCTTTACTTCCGGATACAAGAGAAGTCCGAATATGCCAGTGAAAAAACAGGCAAAATGTAATCACGAATACCTTTTGTTGCACAAAAATATTAACAAGTCTTCTATAGAATATTAGCAGAGCTGTGAATGGTCCAAGCAAACACATCTTGAAGTGTGATCTTTACTGTCACCTGTTGAACTCTGAGAGCACTGGGGAAAGCCACATATATCCCAAGGGTTTCCCCAATGAGCCAAATAGTGCCCCCCTGATACTGTTTCAGGTCAGGAACATGGAATAGAGGAAAGATTAGTCCCCTTCTTCATGTGTGTCATAATTCTGATCCAAATCAGGCACCTTGTGCGTAGAAACTGTGGAGAACATATCTGTGGAGAATTCATAACTCATGTTTGACTGTTACACTAGGTGAGGACCCACAGGGCCGGTGCTACCATTAGGCCAAACTAGGC